TAAAATAAATTATAAAATTTTCCTTTGTAGTACGGTGACTTTATTATTTATCTATCATCGTACCAACAGATGAAAACTCTGAATTAATTGGAAATATTGTTCTCAATTTCTGAACTTTGGAAATTGCATCAGGTTTTAGATCGCTGATTTTCTTGTTACGTTACATATGATTATTAAAATGATAATCTATTCTGTATCTCTTTTTGTGATTAAATATTGGATTCATTCTGAATTTACACGATCTGTGCTTCAGTTAATTAAAAACATGTTTTTGTAACTACTGACTTTATCAGTTTTTTAATTGACGAATTACAAAATTTCTTGTCATACTCAATACGTCACATGATTACAATGAAGCTATTGAAAATTTAACATTAATTTAAGTGCATAAAAACAAATAAGAAAATTAAATTCCGTGACGACGAATCATGACAAAGTCGTTGAACTTGAAAATTCTCAAGTTGGTTGGGAATTGCTTTTAGAAATATTTTGCGAGATATAAATCACTTACAATAAAAGCCATTTTAATAGAATTTTAAAACATTTTAGAATTTTAATTTTTCGGTGACTTACCTAGAATTCGCGAAATGCAGTCGGAGTTTTTTCTTTTTTTTATGCAGTAGAATGATTTCATTTTTTACTAGCCTCACATTTTGGTATTGAAAGTTATCAGACGTCATATCTTTGAGGCACAACATTACTTGATTAACTTCGATCGTTTTTAATTCACCGTTTTAATTATTAGTTTTTATTATTAGTTTTAATTATCTAATGGCTTATATCGTCTACGTACAAGAAACAATTATTTTTGAACAAAGTGCAACCACGCGCGAGTGTTTCACAACGTCTCGCACTGCGCAGCGTGGACGCGCATCGTTGCACGCATGAGCAGAAGTTTATATAACGCTCTTGCGAATTCAAATAGACAGAGATTGTTAATTACTATTTGGTAATAATTAGCACGCTTGCTAAGCAACGCACAATCCAGAAACTACACTTCTACAAATATTTATTGCATTATTAATGACTGTAACTATCAAGTTACAAATCATTATTGTACTTCTATAATATTTATTCACGTTTACATAGACTGAATCATTGAAGAAACGAAGAAATTAATTAAAGATTATTTTACCGATAACGTAGATCTCTGCATATGTAGAACGAAATTAGATTAAATTTATATCACCTCTTCCCTTGGCATAGCCCTCAAAATATTATTTCATAAAAATTCTGTTCGTACAGAACTGAAACGAGATGTCAACGATAAATCGATGTTACAGATTCCGAGCTATCGATAAGATATCGATGAGTGCTGGATCGTCCAGATTCTCAGTGTAGTCGTCTCGAACGAAATCGCTAGGGTTGGCTGAAACTGCTAAAACAAACTATCGCGAAAGACACAGGGATCGTCTCGCGTATTGCCGTCAGTTCCGCTGATTCTTTTTTTCTCTTTCGAGGATAACGTACGCTGAATGAGCAGTAACGCGATGTAACACAACGGGGACATCAACCGTTGCGAGGATCTTTCATGGAAATTCGAGCTGATCGAGAATCGTTATCACGTATCTCAATGTATTTCGCCAATATGTTGCGAATGCGTAGGTAAGGTTATCCATCATTCAAGCTCTCTCCTTTCTTCGAATTATTCGGACGAATGCGAAAAAAAAAGAAACAGTTAACGTCGGGCTAAGTTTCGCAACCACGATCTTAGGTGTCTCGTTCTTTCCCATTTTTTTCTGTTTTTTTTTTTTGTCTTTCGCGACATTGACCGTTCTCCTTTTTCATTTTCGTGATGTTGAGTGAACGTAATGAGGAGTAAAATGCCACCGTTTCGAAGGAAAAAGTCTGGAAAATCTTTCCCCGTTAAAGTCTGTACGCTGGACGCTGAACTAGAATTCAGTTTGGAGGTTAGTTTCAATGCAGTCGCTTGGTCGCTCTGTTACTGTCAGATATCTTGCTACGAAATAAACACACTAAACGTACTAAACTTGCAGTGGAGATCAACGGGACGAGATTTATTCGACTTAGTCTGCCGCACGATAGGATTAAGGGAAACATGGTATTTTGGATTGCAGTACGAGGATGCTAAAGGATTCATATCTTGGTTAAAATTGGACAAGAAAGGTAAATAATTGATCGCAGTTTGATTTGCTTTATAAATTGCATTTTATTAATGTTGTTTACATTTTTAGTGCAAGATCAATGTATCTCCCAACAACCGACAACACCTTTCATGTTTCTGGCAAAGTTTTATCCGGAGGATGTTGCTGAAGAATTGGTGCAAGAAGTGACACAGCACTTGTTCTTTCTGCAAGTGAAACAAGCTATTCTTTCCATGGACATTTACTGCCCACCGGAGGCATCCGTATTGTTAGCTTCCTACGCGGTTCAGGCAAAGGTGATTATAGCTTCATTAGTCCTTTCAGAAACGGATGTTTTTACTTGTACCAATCTATATGTGTTATAGTACGGAGACTACGATGAGGTTTCATATCGTCCAGGAATGTTGGCCAGCGAAGATTTATTGCCACAAAGAGTCATCGATCAGTATCAGATGACTCCTGAAATGTGGGAGGATAGGATAAAAATTTGGTATGCTGATCATCGTGGTATGTCCAGAGACGAAGCGGAGATGGAATATCTGAAGATTGCCCAGGATCTTGATATGTACGGTGTAAATTATTTCCCTATCAGTGTAAGTCTAATAATATTCTATAGAATATTATAATATTATTATAATTAAATATATTAATATTTGTCATGAATGTATTTTCATTGAACGACATAAATTATTAGAATAAAAAGGAAACTGACCTTTGGCTGGGAGTCACGGCCCTAGGATTGAACATTTACGAGAAGGAGAATAAGCTAGCACCGAAAACAACGTTCACGTGGTCAGAGATACGGCACATCAGTTTCGATGACAAGAAATTCGTAATAAAACCAGTGGAGAAAACGTCGCCGAACTTCGTGTTCTTCTCGCAGAAAGTTCGGATGAATAAATTGGTAAAAAAACAGTCAGATGTTGGCAGCTGGGTGAAGGGTTTCATAGCTTTAGGATTCGACGAACAAAACAATGACAAAGCTGCTCATATATTATTTGTTAAGATCCTAGACCTGTGTATCGGCAACCATGATCTGTTTATGAGAAGACGAAAGCCTGACTCCATGGAGGTACAGCAGATGAAAGCTCAAGCTAAAGAAGAAAAATCAAGGTACGTTTTTGCATATATATTTTAAAGAATGCTTCAATTTTCATTGCTTTTTCATAATTCCAATATGATAATAAATGATATTCTTTTCTTTTTTTTTTTTTAATAAATTAAACGCTTCTAATTTGACTGCAGCTTGTGAAATCGAATGCTTTATTAACGTTTATAAATGAAAAAATAAACTTAAAATATTGCTGTGACGAATTACAAGAATTTATCTAATAATTGTATGCTAATCGTTATAACAGTACGCTATTTGGTCTTCGTTTCTCTTTCTACTCTTTTTTTGTTGTTTTACATTATTTTATAGGAACTGAAATCTAAAAATAGTTAAATATAAGTTTAGCAAGGTTGGTATACTTATTTAAACACTCAAAAAAGGACTGTTCTTACTTCAAAGGAATCGTATAAATATTTTTTAAAGGTTCCTTTTCAAGGATAAGTAATTTCTGCTATTTTAATTTATTGCTTTCAAAATGATGTATAACTTTCGTTCTTACTAGTAATGGCCGTTTTATTAGGCGACAAATCGAGAGAAACAAACTAGCGCGAGAGAAGCAACTCAGAGAAGCCGCAGAAAGGGAAAAGGCTGCTATGGAACAACGTCTTCTACAATATCAGGAAGAAATTCGCTTAGCAAATGAGGCACTCGTATGATAACATGAATAATATAACTTTAGCATCAGCATAATACTCGATAATCAGCGCAACGATATATAATTGCAGAGGAGATCTGAAGAAACTGCAGATCTACTAGCAGAGAAAAGTCGCGTAGCTGAAGAAGAGGCAATGCTGTTAAGTCAGAAGGCCTCGGAGGCGGAGCAGGAAATCACACGTATACGATTGAATAACATGAAAACCGAAGAGGAAAAGGTTCACCTCGAACGAAAAACCAGGGAAGCAGAGTTGCTGACAGAGAGGCTGGTACAAGAGTCAGAGCGAAGAGCTGCTGAAGCAGAAAAATTAAAAGACGAACTACTACGCGCGCGTATCGCCGAAAAAGAAGCAAAGGAAAAATTGTTGGAATTCCTTAGCAGGAACGCTTACACTGCAACTATAGCTGTATGCATTAAAATCATAGAAATGATTGAGTATAACTTACTTAAAATTAAAATTAAACATAGTTAATATAGTTTTGTTTAATTGATGTAATCAAAATTAACATTCCTTTCAATAATTTCATAGCCGGTGCCAAATCTGTTCCCATCGACGCAAGTACTCCCGTCAGATTTGCAAGCAGATCTTCAGACATTGCAACTGGACGCGGAACCTCTGCCAGCCGATTTAACATCCTACGATCTAATCGCCGATGGGGATGTCGATCAACTTTCCCTGGAGATCGAAAAAGAGAGAGTCGATTACTGGGAAAAGAGCAAGCACTTGCAAGAGCAGCTCAGAGAATTGCGCACAGAGATAGAAGTTATGAAGGTTGGCGAGAAACAGTGCGAATTAGATCAGTTACATGAAGAACAAGTGCGGCTCGGTGAGAATAAGTATAGTACGTTAAAGAAAGTGAAGTCCGGATCCACCAAAGCCAGAGTTGCATTCTTCGAGGAGTTATAGTGCTAGAGAGCTCTAAAAGATTGAAAAATTAACGGAGACTTTTTATGGGAGAGGAGACGAGACAAATACGCGATTGGGTATGAAATTTCTGAATCTCAGACACGTACGTATGTATACGTTTTAGAATACTGAAACGTACGCTTTCTGTGTAGTAATAGTTTGATTTATCCTATAATATTTACGATACTGATATAATTAGTAAATCATACTTAAAGCAGTAAAATTGTCTTTCTCGCTTGGATTTACGTTTGTTTCCACCCGCCCATGTATCTTTGCCTACTTTGTTGTATTAACGTTCAGTGTTTAATAACTTAGTAACTCGGCTAGTAAAGTTTTGCACAAAATACGTATGCAGAAATCAAAATTAGTAGAATTGCTAGGTGTTAATGATTGTATAGAAATAAGCAATTTTTAAAATTGTATATTATATTTTAAAGTTTCGGTAATTTTAAAAAATACTACCCTTCTTTTTTTTAACAGAAACATTATATCGATTAAAGTTCAACTTTAAAAAAAAAAAACATGAATTTCCTGTCAAATTTTAATAATGATGGGAATTAATTTCGGTTTTAATAAATTTCAGTTACTAGTAATATATTAGCTAGTAATGTTTAGATACTATTTACTCTTTAATGTAACGTGATCGAATGTGCCTATAAAAATTGCATCGTGCATTTTGCACATCGCATGATTGGTAAAGGAATTATCGAGAGAGAAAAAAACTGTATTACAGCTACAGTCTAGTCGAACAACTTACAAAATAACTAACAACCAGATTCCTGATTGATAGAGGTGCAAAATACAATAGTTATTCCGATATTCAAGTTCATGATCAATGTTTGAAGACTCGTTTTCATGCTCGATCGCTATTAAATTGTAACTTCGAATGTTTCGAATAGTCTATTTAATAATTCGAATAATCTGAAATACGACTGGTACAAGTAGAAAATGTGATTTTCAACGAAATTGCGAAAGTAAACGGAGGATTCCAATGCAATATAAATCATAATTTTAAAAAGTCTGATAATGATAAAAAAAAGTATAATACATATACTCATACATCAAACTTATTTCAATAAAATAGAGAGGGCCTTCCGTTATGTAATTTTTACATAAGAGGACCAAAAATTTGTTATAGTTGCAAAAAATATAAGAAATTATTTATATTAACACACTAAATCTTTCGATAATGACATATAATATTAAAATGTTAAATTTGTGATATATAAAAGAAAATTGATATAAAAATATTCAATCACTGTATGAGTATATATAGCGACATTCGTTTTTATTATATAAGAAAATATGTAAGTATAAAACAAATTGTTGTTATTCATGCCATATGTCATGAACCATAACTAACACAATTGCTATATAGTTAGTTTGATTAGACTAGAGCATTAGAATCTTTGTGCATTATCAATTGTGGCCTTCGAAAAGGAAATGTTCCTATCAATGTAGTAAAAAGTCAGTGTTCAAGTATTCTACTTAATTAAGTACTTTCTAAGTACTATTTAAAATGTAACATATTCACTAATTATAGCATAAAATGTATATGATACTTTTCAAACAAGAAAAAGAAGTAATTTTTATATGAAGTAAATGTATATTGTATGTATATTGTATAATCCTATTTACTTTATTAGTCCACATTATAAAATAAGTATATGTAACAGATGATTAAATTTTTATGAGCAGTTACATAAAGCAGAAAAGAACGTCAAATTTTTTGATTTTTCGTTTACTTAAAATTAATATTTTATAAAACAAAGTGTGCCATAATTTTTCATACCTTCAAGTTTTAGGTAAACGGTATTCGATAATACAAAACAAGAATAATTTCAGGAAAGACTTTGAATTAGAAAAATTTCGAATTGGTACTCGTAAAGATGCCTTATACGTTGTTAATAAGTTTATACTACTTGAGCACTGATTATTTTGAAATATGGAAGTACAGGAAAAGTAAATATTATTATTACCTCTTAGACAATATTCTTATATTTTGCGAATCATTTTTATTTCTATATTCTATATGTCAAATATTCAGTATTGAAATATATTACATTTTTTAAGATATTTTACCAAAAGTCTGGTGCAAGTGTTCAATCGAAAAACGATGACTGGAACTGCCGGCGTCGTGATCTGTGATTCAAATATGCAAGTATATTGGTTGTTAATTTAAAACTTCGGCTAAATCAGTATTTTTTCTATAATATAGAAGAATGTACCTGTAAATGTATTCACAATTGCAATTGTTCAATCAGTAGTTTATATCACCGCTATGAAATTTTTATTCTCGAATTCTTGTTATGATACCGAAAATTGTGTCATATATATAATGAATCCTTGAATATTTCCATTACGTTCGTATTGAAATTGACTTTGTTCTTCCATATATAATAGCAACAGTAAAATATATTTGCAAAACAACCTTTTATTTACATATACAATTTTTCTAGTAACATATACATATATATATATATATATATAATTTAATCTAAATATAAACGTATCAAGTCATCTTCCTTGGCAGGATAGTTTGTCACTGGACATTTTTTGTTTGTGCGTATTACGGGAAGGATGCATTGATAGCAGAACGCATAACTGTAAAACGAAATATTTAGAAACTGTAATTTGGATTGGAAGCTCTTATTTTTATAATATAATATACATACCCAGATACTGAAAGTACTGTATGTATTCTGAGTGCTTTACCACAGATTGGACATATACCTTTGTATTGCTTTGCCATTTCTGGAATCTGAAATAAATAAAAAGAAATATTTTATATATAAGTACAGATTACACAGAAAGGAAGAAAAAAAGAGAAAACTTTAGTACATAGTTACAAATAAAATCATTATTTTCTTGCCTTTGGAGGTGGTGGAATAGGTAACGCGAGTAAGTTTGCTGAATTATATTCTTCAGTCCACCATGATAAGAATTGAAGAAAGAACGCTCCAAATTCGAAGGATGTAGTTATCATTCTTTGAAATATATCTATACCATCACTAAGATAGAAGGAATTATTCCTAATTTTTCTCAATAGACTAGAAATGCTAATTTCTGGTTCTGGTTCTGCATATGTTAAAGTGATAGATAAAAGCCTCAAAAGTGGAGAAGTATATGCAGATCTTCCAGATATATAAAGAATATAATTATACAATATTATGATTTCATACACCATAAAAATTATCGCATTTCCTTTAATAAAGCAATTTCGGTATAGTTTTTCCCATCGCTGTAATGAAACAAGCTGAAAAATGATTTGGAAAAATAAAAAATCAATTAAAATTGACTATAAGAATACCGATTTTGGAGCACAGCCATCCAGTTCTTCAAGTTTGTATTTTTCACTTAAATGAAAAAGCTTAGATTTTATATAAGGAAATAAAACAGTCAACACCAAAGAGAAGTGTCTCTGTTTATTTGATATCTTGCTTTTAATCTTCGAATCTGCTACAGTTATACGTTTCAAACCATAGAATGTTTCAGAGAATGAAGCAGCTGAAATGTATTTTTCTAAATTAATATCTCTGAACTATTTGATTTACTTAAGAAAAGATTAATTTTACTTACAATACTTGTTCAAGTAATACCGTTGCAAAACTATATTAAAAATTAAATAGGCTTCGTCTGTCCATCTAAGAAGATGACCGTATCTTTCAACATTAAATGATATGACGAACTAAAATGGCACAAAAGCATTTCAAAAATTAAATATGCTTCATTACAAAGAGATAGATTACGTTTAAGATTTTATTTCCAAGTATAGGATATTTTACAATAGACGTAAAGAGTAAATTCAAAATTTGATGGTACATAAAGAGCAAACTCAAATTCATGTTTCTTAACCAATTTCCTAGATTTTTAGAAAAGTAATGCTTCATTATCAATTGTCATTTAACGAATATGTAAAGTTTTCTCATTAATTGTACGTCAAACTCTCCATTTGAATATCAGACAACCTAACCTACCGATAAAAATTTTTTGAAAGACGGCTCGACAACAGATTCCAACGATTCTTGCGCTATAATTTCAAAAATAGAAGGTTTTATAAATGCTGTCCCGGTTAAATGGGCTCCTTTCTCAGCCATTTCCGATTTCTTTTTCCTATACGTTTCCTTGCTCCATTATCATTTACAAAACGACCTATGACCTATGGTACTTTCGTATAAAAATGCAAATAGTAAACTCAATGTAGCTTCAAGACAATTAATCACCATTTTTATTGACAATTGCAAAATATCATAATTAGGACAAAATTTCAATTATTTTATCTTTATTTCAAAGACACGAAGCGTGCAGCGTTCGTACATAATGAAAGTAAGAAGAGTCTAATGGTCTAATCAAAATAAGTAAACAAAACCACGTGACCAAAATCTAGGGGAAACTAGAAAATTATTTTTTTCAAATATTGAGCTTCTAAATAAAAAAAATTGATACACTTCTTAAGAAACACGTTTAACAAGTTTAACAGCTTAGTTTAAATATTCTCTGTAACAATATAAAATTGTTCTTGCGATTGTAAAAATCATAATTCCCTAACTCCACCTCAATTATTTAGTAATTGATCTTATTTAACTCTGTTACTAGTTTGACTTATTAAACAAATTATACAGAGTGCGGCAGGATGGAGTCCCACATTTCCAAGGTGAATTATAAAAAAAAACGGTACAAAATACGAAAAAAAAGTTTTATTTTCTGAAAGCACATGTAATGCAGTTTTTTTTTGAGCTAGGTTTTAAAAATAATATCATCTAAATGGCCTTGCCTGACGATGCACATATGCAGGTGTTCCTAAAAGTTTTCCATTACTCGCTTCAACATATCTTAAGGAATTCCAGCGATTTTCTCTTTAATGGCCTTCTTGAGATCTACTTAAGGTCTGTGTGCAGAATTCGCCTCACCGTTCGATCCGATATCCCAAGAGTAGAAGCATGTTTTCGAGCAGAACGCGATGGAGACTGCTCGATAGACGCTCTGACAGTGGCAATATTTTCAAGTGTTCTCACGTACTTGAAACACCCAGCTGGTTTTTTAGGCATTGTAGATCCCGTTGTCCTTAAATTTTGGACCCATTTCAATATCGTTTTCCTATCAGGAACACCGTCGTTCCGGTTTAAACCGAAGCGCGTGCGAAAAGCCCTCTGTGTCGCAATCACGGAATCGCCGTTTTTAAAAAAAGCCTCAACAACAAAACCCCGATGTTCACCAGACCAAGGCATGGTGATTACTGAAAACTGCATTGCTCACTCGACATAACGGGAACTGTCACGACCCTTCACCTGTTCAAGGGACTCTTCAGTGATTCTTTGAAATGTGGGACTCCATCCTGCTGCACCCTGTATTTTCTTATAAATTCTAAATCTCATTTTCATTCTCAATCTCACTTTCAATCGTTTATGTGAAGAAAGGGTTGGAAAAATGTTAAAGTAAAAATATTATGCAACGCTAGAATTTCTCAACATCCAATAACAGATTAGTGAACAAAATTAACATCAGCCAATCGGAATGAGCTGACATTGCCAAGTGATGGGGATAACAACAGTCAGCTAACAAGGAAGAATATCGGTCAGTTGACGCGGTAATACTATACAGTATATTTGCTTTGTGCAAATGTAAATAGAACACTTGCGACAGTGCTGCTGTTTGGTAAAGAATTAAAGAAGGATCATTCACCAGATTGACTAATCACTTTCGTATCAGTCTACTAACCGCAAAGCGACAAATGGAAATATTTTTTTTAATCGAGTCTCAAGAGATGGGACCGCTTTCGTCGTACGGCCCGTAATTGGGTAACATTGACTGCATATTTCATACATTATCCTACCAGCTGATCGGAGCGCGTTCGTTGCGCATACAACTTGTGGATGTTAACATAACCTCGTGTTGCAGGCATATGACACTTCAAAATGGTACGCATGTAACGATTAAAAATCGAGCAGTTTAAACCGAAGAGAGATAAGATCCTTCGTGCTAAGTACGGAGAACATCTGTTACGTGCTTAAATTGGAGATTCATTCAAATGAGAAAGGTTATGATTGTAAGGGAAACAAGCAGAATTGCTCGACGTAACGATCAGGCTCTGTAAAAATGAATATCTCTTAGTGAGGCAATAGCTTAGAATTTTTCAAACATACTTGCATCATATTGAGCCTGTAAGCATGTCTGGAAAGGGTAAACAAAGTTCCAAGAAGGCAGTTGTCAAAATGCGAGAAAGTGGGAAGACTGTACAGTCTTCTGCCCTTAACTCAGATGCAAATTTAGAGAATACCGATGCTACAAAATCTTTGTCCATCTTGAAAGTCGCTGACAACAGCCGCCTCCTCCCAAGGTACAGCAGTATCCTGCAGCGTAATGTGGAAGAAGGTGTAGGAATGGAAGATCTGGATACATTGCAGCTAGAATTAGAAATGCTTCTCTCCTCGGTGGTCGTGCGACATCGTATGCTTCAGGAGGAAATAGCCAATTTGTCCTCAGTAGAGGAACGTAGGGACAAAAGATCCAAGAGTGGGAAAGGTCTCTCCCTCTTGGACAGAAAAGTTAGAGAGGAGAAATTCAAGCCTAAGGAACTCAACGCTAAAACTCAATCGCCTCTGCCATTGAAGCTGTTCAAGCAAAAGGCCATTACCAGCTCAAACTCTCAAGTCATTCCAAATGTACACGAAATCTCGAGAATTGAAGGCTCGAAGTCCGAATCGCCAAAGTTGCTTTTACCAAAAAATGATACCCCCAACAAATTTTGGGCATCTGTCGATCCGTATTGCACGGATATTATGTCAGATGATATTAAACTGCTGGAGGAGTTAATTTCCACGCACAGTGATATCAGCGACTTCAAGAAGGTCCCTCCGTTAGGTCGTCATTACAGTTTAATATGGACTCATAATGATTTGCTGCAGGAGGAAGACGCGGCTAATCCGAACAGAGACAAAAAGAAGAGTCGCTCGGACATGTCTCTATTAGTCGGGAAAAATGACAAAAAGGCACACAGTATAGCGGGGCCTCTGACTCAAAGATTGGTCTCTGCTTTATTAGAAGAAAATGTATATGTTGCAAATAACAACACGGATAACAAATTGTTTAGAGATAGCGATCCTCCTGTCTTGAGGGATCTCACTATTCAGAATTCTATTAATTTAGAATTAAGGATGCACAAGGAGCTGGTCGAGCAAGGAATCTTAGAGCCAGATACACAAAAGAAGACTCAAGAGGACGACGAAATCCTGACGGAGATCAAACGTTGTCAGCAGGAGCTTACCGCGCTTTCCAACCACAACGTGACACAGTTGAAGAGGCTGTTGAATTTAGCCCAGGAAGAAAGCAAGCGGCAAGCGTTGAAGAGAAAAATTGGTACAGCAGATAACGAAGTGATAGAACACTATAAAAAACTTATACTAGCGAAACAGAGGAAAATACCGTTGACGAAGAAGGAACAGGATAAAGCGTGGTCGTGTCTTCGGGAAAGAGAAAACCTTTTGGACCAGCTGAACATGTTACCACACAACAACGTAGAACTTATAGGTTTCGGCCCTACCACGAACTAAATGCAATTTTTTACTGTATTGTGCGATACCGTGATAAAACCATGTATAAAAATTTAATAATATCAATCTAATTTTTAAATCGAACGGTGTAACGTTTATTTTCAGATACGTCCTTTGAATTGCTTTCCATTTCGACAGTGAATCCGATTATGTATTTAATTCTATTTATAATTAATAAGATTATTATAGAATAAGTTACATCGAAATCATTGATACGGGTTCGACGATCAACCATTTTTGACCGACTAGATAAAAAAAAAATGAAAAAACTGGAATAGGTAATTCCAACATAATCCACAATTCAGCGCAATGTCCGTATTACCAACCATTTAATTAATAATAATAGAAACGGATTTTAGAATCGATTTCTGCCAGAATTTCTGGGTTAATTACATTATTTCAAATATAATTATAATCTTAAGGAGAAGATTAAGAAAAAATGATCCATAAATTCAATAATAATGTCACGAGTGTTTATTCAACATCACTGTGACGTCGCCGTTTGAGTTGCTACGTCACTGCGGATCATCGCGCCCGTTTCAAATTCCTCAATATAATCGTCCTAATTCTCCGGCTGACCAGAATGAGTTAGCCTCATCTAGAAGTCGAATCCCTGCAGTGTTCGTTCTTAATATATACCAATTCAAACATACAAAATCCCAAGTCCATAGGAAAGTTGCTGGACCGCGCATTAACCACCGTTACGGCACCCTTATAGGATGGTTTCCATACCCAGCCAGAGGCAGGCTCCCCTAACAACCAAGGGATCGCCACCATCAGGCCCACTGATGAGTCTGGTGGTGTCTCCAAGACGAAACGCTTCCTTTTTGGATCATTACCTACCTTATCGACACGACCCCAAAACCGTCGCCATAGCGCCGAAGTCCTGGCATTTTAGTAAAAATAGCAGAGCCCCTCCCCTTGGGACGTGATACACTGTACAGTTTTCGTCCACCTCAATAACGTGCGCATGCAATAGCACAAAAATGTTCGATATGTACTACCTACTACGTTTAGTATTTCACACAATTAAAAGTGATGAGCATACGAATATGCGTATACAATATGGGGTACTGCAAGCAAGGCTATCGTATTTTTTTCTTTTTTTTATTCTTCAATTTTCGCTTAACGTTCTTAGCAGTTTTTCATTATACTGAAATACGTTATTGTAATAATGTGAGATTTTTTTACGCTACATGATATTACAGTAGTCCATGAAATGATTACAGATTTATTCGAAAGATCCCGAAGGGGTTAAGGACGGTCCGATACAAACATACGTGTACAGCCGCTATTTCTTCTCAATTCATTGTCGCATACCCCGGATAATCGAGCATCTCTAATGATTTCATGGCATCCCGTGCACCAAACGCAGCTACCAATGTTCCCTTCTCAGAGATCAAAGGACGCTGCTTTGGTAGTGATGCACTAAAACTAGTACAATTGTGTTTTTATGCGATTTTGATGACTTAGAACGCGAACAAAAGCAAGAAAGCCATCATAAGACAGAAGAGACCCATGGCTTCGGACAGGGCAAAGCCCAGGATGGCGTATGAGAACAACTGCTGTTTAAGAGAGGGATTCCTGGCATAACCAACAATTAAAGAACCAAACACTGAACCAATTCCAGCACCTGAAATCAAAAATATTATCTCTAAGTTTGCATTTCATTTTTATTCAAACAAAATCTGATTTAAATATGAAATTTATATAATATAACTTTACTATTACAAGGTCATGGATCATTTTTGGAGGAATTGGGATTAAAAAGCAAATAGTATAAGGAACGCTATCATCAAGCAAAAGAGACCCATTGCTTCTGATAACGCAAAACCAAGGATGGCATAACTGAAAACTTGCTGCTTTAAGGATGGATTTCGGGCATAACCAATTATGAGGGAACCAAAAATCAAACCCACACCAATCCC